ATTAATCAACGCTTCAATATTCTTATCACCAGTGAGATGAAGCGAATCAATTTTAAGAAAAGTGTGAGTTACACACGTCTTAAACTATTCGTGTTATAACGGTGACTGGAATCTTGGGAATACATTATTTGGAATTAAATTGAATAGGCATGGATACCACCTCACATAAGCAACCTAGTTTGAATCAAAAGAGAGTATAAAGGAAAAAAAGTAATGGTGATCAAAGGTAGTATTTTCCATTTCAAGTGGCAGACACCTCAGATCCACTTCCTCCACTTAATTCCATTATTCATATGCCTTTCCATCTTTGTGGAGAACTCAGGTGGATGGATGGCCTGTTTGCTTTTAAACCTGGGAAATATTTTTTCTAGATTTTCCACCACAATATCCTAGATGCTCACATCAACCCCTCTCTTTCTACTTTTCCCCCCTTTTCTTTTTTCATTTTCAACACACAACACATATCAATAATCTGCACCCTAGCTAGCTTAAATCATCAAAGGGATTCTTCTTCTTTAATTACTACTTAATTAATTAATGAGAGTCAATATAATGTGACACACACTAATATAATTCCAAGCAATTCTACTCTGTATAGGGTTTGAGTCGGTCAGCTATGGACAACCTAGGCTGTTTTGTCTAGTTGCGAAGATTTTTAAGAAAAAAGAGGAGGACATGAATGAGTTGAGGCACTACTGATCGAATTGAAGGCAGTAGAAATAATGAAGTTTGGGAAGTTTTTACCATGTAGATGCAATGTTGTGACAGCATTTTAAGGAGATAAGGTAAGAAAATGCAGAAATTGCCTGCCATTTACCTTTGTCCGCAGATGAGGTAATAATACTCTTCCTAGCTTCTCCCACTTAACTTCTAGGCTTCATCGGTGTGAAAAATGATTATACTTCAATTCAAGAGATGTGTCTTAAAAGTTTATAAATTCTTAAAAGTGTTTATATACTGGTGTGTAACGTAACTGCCAAAGTAATAAAACTATTAATATTTTAGATTAGTCGATCAGTTGAACTGTGTCCGATAACAACTCCATATATGTTCTATCTCTATTGGTGGCATTGTACTGCAAGTTTTGGGTTTTCACCCAGCTAGGTTTCCAATTCATTAAACATATGAATGAATGAAATGAGTGGGATTTCCCCACTATAACTACTGAAGCATGACAAGAATTGAAATTCCACGTGCAAAGATCATGTTGGCTGTTGTTGCCAACTTGCCAACATGCATAATGTTGTCATACATACGCTCTATTTTCTTTACAATCTCTAAGGTAGGTTGTGCTGATTTATTTGTTCATGGATACAACCTTGTAACAGATTGATACCACTTACGATCTCAAATCTATTATATTGGCTAAAGATTAATATTAGATTATTAGTAAAGTTTAACTCTGTACAAGAATTCCCTAGTAGATAAGATAAATTGTGGGATATGCATCTACTGTTATTAACAAAATAAAATTTATAAACTTATAGATAAGGTAAATAAGTAAATTATAGGATATGCATTTAGGTGTTTAATTTTTTTTTGTTTGAGTAATACTATTGACTCTATTATAAGGTAGTATCTATTCTATATTTTTTCCAACTAAGTACAGCACAAAGAATCAATATTTTACCACCGACGTTCAATCTTGTAACCTTCCCTCAAGAAAAACCACAAAAGTGTCATCTAAACATAAAGTGTTTAGCTTAGTGTTTAAAATTTAAAAACTTATTTTTAGTTAGTTAACCGGAGTATAATTACGGTTTATGGTAAAAAGCCATTGATGGTGACATAATATGGCAAACCTCATATTGCGCACTTTCACCTTGAAAATGTCACTTCAAGTGCCCTCCTCCTTCCTCACCATAATACATCCATGTCTTTTTTTTTAAAAAAAAAATAAATAAAAATTATTAATTCATTTTCTTCTTCTAGGCCTCATTTGCACCTTTTTTTTCTCTCTTTAATACAAGTCCACGAATCCTGAATTCACTACTATTCTTAGCTTCCCCCTTTTAGCATTATGCTACCAACTCCAACATTTGGTCCCCTCCTTAACTCATGTGATCCACCGTTAGGTATATATACTTCCATTTTATGACCAAGTAAAAAGTGAATCAAAAATTCTTAAGGTTTATGTTACATTTTTCATATTTGATCGTATCTATCCCATTGACATTCCGTCTTTCTATATATATTTAATAATATAATATTTTATTCATATTTATTATTATTATATATTCTTAAGATTTATGCTAACTTATTTTCTTTTCTAGTACAGGTGTTTTTTTTTTTTTTTTTGGAAAACTTTTCTAGTACAGGTTAATTATCACAATTGAACTCTTTTCTGGTCAAAGTTCATGAAATTGACTCAACCATTCTTCTAATCCTTGTGTTCAATTTTCTTTTTCTTTGTATTATATATATGCATGAAAATTAAATTAAATATTAATTTAATGGCAATAAGAGATGTGGCAGGACATCACCGGCTGGTAGGTTAACGACATGGATGTTCTGTGTTTTTAGAGCATGAGAACAGGGGAGGCTCTTTTTTTTTTTTTTTTTTTTTTTTTTTTTCCTGGGGTGGATGTGAGTGCTGAGGTGGCAAGGCTTACAGTCGCAGGAATTTGTGCCCACGTGGACCCAGACCCACGTGCACGAATTTTAAAATGTTGAGTTGTTTGTGTGTGAAATTTCTCATTATTCAAAAAAAAAAAAAAAAAGTTGAGTTATTTACAATCCAACATTCCAACGTTTTATATTGAGGCTCTATGCCTTTTAACATAAGAGAAAAAATAATTTTGAGTATTTGTAACGTAATTGAGTTTTCCCATATAATATGTATTATTTACTCGGAGGAATAAAGTGTTTGGTACTCATACGAGAGTGTGTAATAGTTTTAAATCAAAATATCACAAACACTTGTTGCTACTATTTTTATGGGTGTTTCAAATTAGTTAATTAATATTAGGAAAAATCACAATTTTGATCCTTCAATTGTTTTTCAACTGTAAATGTAGTTCTTAGTTTTCAATATTGACTAATTTGATCATCAAATTGTCTAAAATTTTGTCACTTAAATCCTTTCGATTGACTAAAATGGTGATTTTCCCATTTTAAAATTTCGTCAATTTGATCCTCATAAAATTTAATTGACAAAATTTTAAACAATTCGATAATCAAATTAGTTAAAATTGAAAACTAAAAGCTGCATTAACAGTTGTGAAACAATTAAAAGATCAAAATGATGATTTTCCATTAATATTATATAGTATAGTCATTCATTTGAGAAAAAGTAATTTAAAATTTTTTTTTTAAAAAAAAGGAGTGATTAGTTGTTGAACAATGGGTTATGAGTTTTACATTATGGAAATAGCAATGCAATATGCACTTAACGAAATCTTGTTAGCAGTAAATTGTTAGTATATATGAACAAACAAACTAGTTATGATGGGGTTTTCAAAAACTAGTTATGATGGGATAAGAGCATCTGCACTAGAGATATTAGATGGTTATATCATTTTTTGCTATCTTATTTAACTAATATATAAATTTTACAGTATTACCGTAAAATATTTGACAAATTTAAAGGTCAAGCATCGTGTGCTTATATGACATTTCTGTGACTCTCCTCTGCGTGTGGTGTATACTATCTTGTAATAGAGTGAATAGTACTCAAAAAATAAAACAAGGAAATTGAATGCACAATAATGCATCCAATGAGCACTATGCCTTTCACGTGCCATGGTGTTTAGAGCATCCCCATCAATGACTATTGGGGTGGTTTTGAGGAGGCAATGCTTAGGGCATCCCCGTCAATGCATTTTAAGTAGGTTTTTTAATGAGACCAAGCTTAGGTGAAGGAGAGAGAAAAAAAATGATCTCCATGCAAAGCATTGATTTTTATCATAATTGTGGGACCCACCAAGAAAAACAGCCTTTCTCGCTGCAATCAGGTGAAGCGCAACCCAGCTTCCAGCTGGACGCGTTAATGAAGTTTTTTTTTGTTTTTTTTCTTTTTTTCATATTTATTTTGTTTTTTTTTTCTTTTTCTTTTTCTCTTCACTTGCATCTTCTCTTCTCTAGTCACACCTGCAAAAACTTCTCAAAATTTACAACTATTAGAGATGCTCTTATGTGAATGCGAGAGGGGAGGAGAGAGGAGCTAGGTTCCTAGCAAAAGATCTTGTTTTTTGTCTCCAAAGTGGGACTCACCTAAATAAAACTAAAAATAAAAAGTTGCCCCATTTGCCGCGTGATGCTCACAGAATACAACTATCCGTTGGGCGCATTAATCTACTATTCTTTTTTTTTTTTTTCCCCTTATTCTCTTCTCTCTCATATTTTTTTTTTCATAGTCATACCTGCAAAAACTCCTCAAAAACTATAACTAAGGGAGATGCTCTTAGAAAGTGAGGAAAATATAATATAATGTTATGATATAATCTTAATTGGCTTAGCAACAGATAGGGCAGGGCCAAATGCGTGCACAAGGAATCTGTCTATTTTGGGCATAATCCCTACACTGTCGTCGCCGGGATTCAAACTTTGGTCTCTACTTTCAAATACTGCATACTGAACCATTGAGCTAAGTTCGTGCGGGCATGATATGATATATGCCCTGTTTGGTAAAATAGTTAGCTTATCAGCCAATTTTGACTTATTTGACCACTATTAATTGTTTGACTTGGTTAAAAATCATTATAAGTGTTTGATTAATTAGCTTTTTGTAACTCTAAAATTTTAAATTTCAAAAAGCTGGTCAAAATAACTTTTTCAATTAGGTTTTTGAGAAAAAATTATACTAAACAGCTATCAGCTAACCGCTAATTTACTAAACATCTTACTGCAATCAAATAATCCCTCTAATTAACCCAATCAGTTTAGTTATATCCTCTAATTAACCCAATCAACTTAGTTATATCCTCTAATTAACAGAATCAACTAACACTCATTTACCAAATAGGGCATTAATCTCAATCATGGAATTGAACATGTTTAAATAGGTGGAAAGTTGTGGGCAAGATAATGAGGAACATGTTAATTTAGTGGAAATTAATTGTAATCTAATATGAAGTATTTATAGTTGAAGATAATGTGGATAGTGAAAAAAAGTGGGGGGATGCTGACATGGACAAAAAGTAAACTGGAAAATATGGCACAACACACTTTAGCAAGTTGTTGGTGGAGTTGGGGGAATCAAAAAACTGCCCCAAACCCAAAGAAAGATCTCTTTGCCACAAAGAAATTTGTGGCTGAAATTTCATTCCCCTGCTGACGTGTCCACCCACAAACATCCCTTCCTTCTCCCCTTCTTAGTCTTCACGCTTGACACCAAAAATCTACAGCTCCCCCAGGATTCACACACGAATCAAATCGCCAACCCCCTCCATTTTTATTTTATCTGTCATTTTTTTAATATTAAAAAAACATAGAACAAGAAAAAAAGAAAAGATCAGACAATTTCCTTTGTGTTGTGTTGTGAGAAGAACTGAAACAAGGCACAAAAAGCCAACCGGCTTGCCGGAATGTCGACGGAAGTTAAAGATCCGGCGATCAAGCTGTTCGGAAAGACGATTTGTCTGCTTCGCCATGACACCCTCTCCTGTTCTATTGCGGCTGATCAACCTGCCAAGCGCAGCCGCTCCTCGATCACGACAGCTTCGCATGACTACAAGGTATTCTATATTTCTACTCTCCAACCTTAAAAAAACAAAAACAAAAACAAACGATACTTGGTATTCCAGTGTGTCAGACATGCCATTTTCTGAAATTCAGGATGACGTTAAATTGGGCAAAGTGTACTCTGTTCAGAAAGTTCCTTTTGTATACTTTTACTCTCTAGCGGTTTTGTTCAAATTTTTACTCTTTTTTTTTTTTGGTTTTCTAAAATTCAATTATAGGTTAATTTCGAGAAATAAAATTTAGGTTAAAGTTCTTGAAGTCCGTGAAAAACTAGTTATACTGAAAGTAAAAGAAAATTCAAGGTTATTATGTTATTTGTTTAAAGACAGTTAAATATTAACATAACTTTTGTGAATATTCGGCTTTGAATACGAATTATGAATATTTTATTAAGTGTCCAGATTAGAGACAATAAAAATAATTTGTACTTCAACTTTTTAAAAATAATTTGTCTACAAAAATGGTATTCAACTTAGAGCATAGTTGAGAATAGTGCACAAATTAAATGTGTTCATTTTCCTGATGGAGATGGACAAATGGTAATTTGTTATTTTACTTGTGGGACGATAGCATCATTGTTACATTTTATAAGAATTATGCGATCATGTTATAAGCTAATATGATAAAATTAAATAGATAGGTGTGCGAATTTAAATTGAATTGGCAGTGATTTCATCCTTTATATGTAAGTGTTGCTTTTGTGTTAAATCTGGATATAATCGATCATGTTTTTGGCTTCAAATCCATATGCGAATGAATAGTTTAAGATCGATGATGATTAAATGAATGATTTTGGAATGATCAGAACACATCCGGCGAAGTTTCAGAGAGTAAACAGGACGATGAATGTAGGAATCTGAGTGGCGAAGATTCTGTCGGAGCAGAAACGACGTCGTCGCGTATGAGCGATGACGACAAGGCGGCACAGAATCCGGAGAAACAAACACAATGTGCAGCGAAGAAGGACGATGAAAGCGAGACAAGTGATTCGCAGGAACAGAAGAACCTTAAAAAGCCCGACAAAATACTGCCATGTCCGCGGTGTAATAGCAAGGACACCAAGTTCTGTTACTACAACAACTACAACGTCAACCAGCCGCGTCACTTCTGCAAAAACTGTCAGAGATACTGGACCGCCGGAGGATCCATGAGGAACGTGCCGGTGGGTTCCGGCCGCCGCAAGAACAAAGCTTCGGCCTCTAATTTCCGTCACATAATGGTTTCGGACGCCCTCCACGCCGCCCAGTTTGACGTGAAACCAAACGGAACTGTCCTCGCGTTTGGCTCCGACAACAGGGCAGTTAATGAATCTGTTATGAATCTCGTCGAGAAATCCCACCAAAGAATTCCGGCCTGGAATGCTACTCATCAATGGAGGTCTCCGGTACAACCTCCGATGGCGTTGTACGGCGTGTTGGCCCCCTGGAGCGGGCGGTGGATCTCCCCTGATCAATCAACTCCAACTTCTCTTAAAATGGAGGATGAAAAAGAAGCGGTGAAGAGCTCAATCTGGTCTACATTCAAGGCGTTTAACTCAAAGGATGGTGAGAGAGAGAGAGACAGAAACCATTCTCTGGTTCTGCAAGCAAACCCAGCAGCCCTGTCTCGCTCCCTCAACTTCCAAGAGAGAACATAAGATACACCATCTCGATCTCATCCATCTGGAATTACCAGCTTCGATCTTGTTCATGTTTATAGTATGCATCAACATTAATAGATTATATGTATTAATGCCACTGTGTTTGGTACATAACATATATATGTTATCCATTTATAATAGGTGATATATATACATATATATATATATATATATATATATATAGAAATAAGAGAGATTGATTGTTCAACGTAACTCGCCAAAGGAAAAACGTTTTTGTAGTCTGCAAATGTAAATTCCTCTTTAAAATATTCCTTCCACTCATAAAAAGCTGAATTCAAGATTATTATTATTTTTTTTTGGGACAAACCATGTCATTCATTACTTGGTTAAGATCTGATAATAGAGAATAACAAATAAATGGAGGTGGGTTAGGAGACCACTCCAAGCTATCAAGTGTTGGGAATTTAGAAGGAAAATGTCATAGTAGAACTATGTTAATATAGGCCGGTTCAAAACAAGGAAGAAGGAAATGAAATTTTGCAGTGTATGCATCACTGCCTTAAAAGCTATTTTCAAAGACTGTGTTGTCTTACAACTCGATACGCTTCCTATCGTAACATAAATAAACTGAAATTAACTAGCACAATTAACACGCAAGTAGAACCTGACTAACTCAGTGCTCCAACGGAGGAGAGGAGAAGAAGAGAAAAATGCAAAGAATGAATTGGTGTTATGAGCAAAATGGGAGAATGTATATATAGTCTCAAATATAACCGTCCGTCACATTCCAGCCACAAATGTAACGCAAGAAACGGGACAAACATAGGGAGTATGTATTTTCATTTAGTTTAATGTAAATTCATAATGTTCATAAAAATAAAACTTAATGCACGTAAACATTATGGAGTATATTGTAGACACATCATGTTCAACCTAATCTATTGAGTGTATTCTCTAATCCAATATTATGAAATAAAATATTTTATTGTTGCAAATAGAAAGAAATGAATTTTTTTAAAGAATAAAAAGTTTTGAAATTATATTTTCATCACAGAGATACCAACTAAAGTAAGTAATAAAATATTTGTGTTACATTTACTTAAATCCTTTAACTTTTATTACTCTAATTTTTCTTCCTTCAAACTCTACTTTCAAATTAGAAAAATACACAAATAAACTATTTATTTATAAAAAAAAATATTTCTAAAAAGTATGAAAATATTTTCACATATGGCGAGTTTGGTTCACACTAAAATCACCCCTGGGTTGAAACTTGAAAGGGTATGGGGTTCAGTCGGGTCAGCTTCAAAGCCGTACATGTGCGCCGAGTTTGGCGCCAAGAGAAGAAAGTGTTAGTTATTATTAAGAAACTCAAACGGTACCGGAATTTTCCCCCAATTCTGCCGGAGTACAAACCCCGCCGTATCTCTTCTCAACCTCACATTCCGGTTCCCACCGCCCCCGCTTCCGTTATTCAGATTGAATTTCCTTCTCTTAATTCCTCGCAATTTTGTCGAATCGGTAACGGAAAAAGGCCGTCCTGGAAGTCAATTCGGCCGCCTTAGTAACGACTATTCTGTCGTCATCCTCATATCGGTACGATACAGATACCTAATTCTATCTCCACATGCCGCTCGTCGGACGGTCATCTGATTATTTCTGTATTACTTTCATTTGGTTCTTCGTGAGCACAGTTTCCTATATATTTTTTAAATTATTGAAATTCCTTGTGATAAGAAAATCATAATTCTATCTTCACATTTAGCTATACTTTCATAACATTTTGAGCATGTTGTACATTGTACTTTAGGCTAGCTTCATTTTGTATTCAAAAATATAGTCTTCTGTAAGATCAAAGGCCCCTTTCGATATCTAGTCTTCTTTAAAATGGAAGAAGTTCACAAATTTGATTGAAGAATTGGAAACTGAGATTATACTTATGTTCTTCAGTTCATTTTTAGTAACACAAATACCGAAGCATTCATTATTGGTTGTCTACTTTCGCTGTTCTTAGGTGACCTCAAAACATTTTATCTTCGTATTAGAAGAACTTAAGCTTAGGAGCTTGCGAGGTAGAGCTTTGCAGAGGACATCAGTTCTTTGTTCAACAGAGCTGGTAAGCAATGATAATTTGGGCAAAACAATTCTGTGAGAATCACAACCTAATTTCTAAAATTTTGTTTTGAAATTCTTCTCTCTTTTTCTCTTATGTTTTAGGTGTCCTCAACATATATCAATCCCATTAAAAGTTCAACAAGCTTACGGCTTGTAAATGCCTGTGATTTTCAATTTGAAAGAGCATTGTAACAAGGGAAAGGTGATCTAGCATCTTCCTAATTTTTTACTACTAGTATGTTTTGTTCAATTATAATCTTTTGACAAAATAAACCAATGTGTGTGGCAATGGAAATGCAGAATGGGACAGAACCGGTTACCGTTAAAGAGACTGACTAGTGTCAACCGTAGGATAGCCTACTCGAGACGAAAGAAGGGTCTGATGAAGAAAGCTAGAGAGTTGTCTGTCTTGTGTGGTGTTGAAGTGGTTCTTGTCACATTTTCACCTGGTGGTAAACCGTAAACCTACTGTATTCATTACAGAGAATAGGTATGCATTTATACTTAATTCACTTGAGCCTAAAATTTCATTTTCTTAACCTGTATTGAATTTTGAGGGATAAAGAAAATTTGATGGTTATGCGATAATTTTTTTTTTTCTTGTAATGAAGATTGTGCCTTCATTTAAGTGAAGGAGTTCTATCCAATTTGTGAGTTGTACTTGTGAAAATTTATGCAGAGCTCATTAAAATTCATAATTATGTTTGGATACTAGACAAAAAGCATGGACACCATAAGTGAAATTGGGTTAGCAATTGGAATATAGAAGTCCAAGAAAAGTAACATGCACTATTGATCAATATTTGGGTTTACAGAATTGAAGGAATCGGGCTTCTTATTTATCTGTGATTGCTACATTCATAAAATAGCTTTCTTTGGTGTTATTATAATCCCAAAACTAGTTTTCCCTTCATGCAGTTCCATCGAAGATGTGATTGAGAAGTTTGCACAACTGAAGCCAGAAGAAAGGGCAAAAGAGTATAGTATATATACCTTCTGCTTTTAAAAACTTTTTACGTTTGTGCTTGTTTTAGAATGCTAAAATCCCAGTGGTATAAGAATTAAACTCTTTGCTTGATTGTTGCAGGAAACTGGAGTGCCTTTAAGTAAGCCAACTTTCTTCCCCACTTTTATTCTAATTTAGAACTCGGCTGCTGGTACCTATCTCTTTCATATACTATAGGTGGTGAAGAAAGCTTGCAAAAAGTTTGATCACCATGTAGACATCAGGGAACTTTTTTATCCAGGGTACATGTCATTTCTTTTGATACTGTTTTTTCTTTAAGCAAGGAAGTGTGATGGAGTAGTTTGTTTCTAATGCTAAAAATTGTTTGCCTTAATTCTATTTACAGGGATCTTTCAGATGAGGTATGCACTCTAGCAAATTATCAAAACCTTATTGTGAAACATTATATTTGCTCCAATTTACACTAATGTCATTTTGTGACCTACACATTTTCTGATGTTCTTTATGCAGGATTTGACATCTCTGGCTGATTCGGTGAGAACTCGACTTTCTGACACCCAAAACAGATTCAGGTAACTTTAGCATCTAATCCTTGCAAATTTTAAGTTCTCATTAGGTATAAGCTAATCAACTTTGCTATATAGCTTTATTTCCATATAAGTTTACAACTTTTTGGTGATCTCTGAAATATCTTTACCTGATACATCTGAATCTGTAGCCATTGGATGAACATAGACAAGATCAGTAATACTGATCAACTTGAGAAAATGGAGGAATCATTAATCAACTCACTCCAAGACATTCAGAGACATAAGGTACTCTCTATTTATCCACTTCAATCATTTAAAAATAGTACAGAATTATACTATAATATTTCTGGTTTAAACATGGCATCCTAGAATTAGATTTAAGGTTTTTTTTTTTTTTTTTTTTTTCTTTCTAAAACAAACATAATCATTAACTGCAAATTAACAAAATGGTCTTCTTGCTCAACAACTGAAAATGCAACGCAGTGATGAGGTAAAGAGACACATGATTGGTGGATTATTTTTCTCTTGATATTTACACTACATCAATCAGTCATCGCTCTATCCCATTTTATTTGTTTGTTTGTTTATTTTAACTAGTCTTGTTTGCAGTTGCAACATGTGACAGATTTACCAATTGGTATGGGTACAAGTCAAGTGCTCCAGCCTTCTTCATGGTATTAATCAAAACATCGACTTCGACAAGTACCTAAATTTAACCCAAGGGTGAGGAACTACGTTTATCGTTTGGTGTATTTCTAAGAATACATTATTCAGGCTCTATACATCTTCCATTACTAAGCTAGGCACAATGCCAGAGCCTTGCATCCTACGCCTTACCTTCTTTAGTTTCTTTGATACATTCTACCACTTAGCTATCACAGATGTATTGTCTCCAGGCTTCCAGAGTGTTCATTCGAGAGCTATACAAATCTTTTTTGCTTTGATGAAGAAGTGGAGGTGACAAGACCCGGTGGAGAAGATAGATCTAATCCACTTCTGGACTATGAGCACATGCAATCTGAATTCACTTTTGAAGTTGAACCAACAGATCCTTTGGATGTGTTGGAGAACAATTTTGACAACAGCATTCTGAACGTCTTCAGTGTGGTTCTTACCGTATGAATCCTAGTTGGAACTCGAGTACATCAGAACATCATGGTACTGGAGTGTGTCCCAGTATCTATCCTAGTTGGGAATCTACTTCAGGAACTTATAGCTCCACACTCTTTGATGATCAACTTTATTTTCCGTTAAGTTTCCATAGCATTTTCTTGAATCTTGATGTCCTATACACGCTGCATATATTCATTAAGAAGTTGAGTTCTTCCTGCAGTTCCAATTGGCCGAAGAAAATGTGGTTAGTTGCTTCCAGTACCTGTCTCCAGGAACAACAGAATTCCCTAGTATTGATGTTACAGACAAAACTGTCCAACTTGCAAGGTAGACACGGTTCTAAAAATTGTCTTAATTGTGAATATAGAGTTCAAAAATTATGAATACAAAATTCTATATTTATGAATATAGAGTCTGTAATTGTGAATATAGAGTCTGTAATTGTGAATATAGAGTTCAATAATTGTGAATATGAAGTTCAAAAATTATAAACATAGAACTTTATAATTATGAACATAAAGTTCAGTAATTATGAACATAGAATCGTGTCCATCTTCCACACCATAACAGTTGATCAAAATATTGCAGGGCTTAATAGGCCAACAAAAGTGTTGGGCCATTTTGCTCAATTGTCCAGATTTCAATCTAGTCTAGTCTAGATGACATGAGAACTGAGGCCCTCCATTCTTAGTGGGCCTTCACACCATAGTCTTTTCATTTGACAACTGTATGTCAGTACGCGGTTCTTTTTGTAGCAACCCATAAAGACAAACGAAATATCTTTTTAAGATTCTCAATAAAATTTGTTGCAATCCCCCAAGGAAAAGTGGAAAACGACAACAACCTTAATTCATTTATTACGTTTTTCTTCCAAGTCAAGGAAAATATATATTATACATTATATGAGCAATTCACAATATAAATATTTGCAAATTATATAACAATAGAGTAGTATTATATACTCCGCATTTTATTATTTTTTTGTTATTGCAATAGGCTAGGTTTTCAAGAAAAAAAAAATACCATTTTCTAGTAAATTCTGTGACAATGACAGGACGGAAGAAGAGCGAGATTTGCGGCTGGAAATCACGTTTGCGAAGTCCAAAGTTACTTCGTAGAGGATTTACTGTTTTCTTTGTCGGTTGAACAGCAAATACTTGACTTGTTTATACGAGATTCCATTTTTAAATTATAAATCATATTATCTCGGGAAAATGATACCGAATGGTTCCTTATACGCAGTAAGTAAAGGTCTAGCTTTTGTGATTCATGTTTAGTTAAATTACCATGATTTATATTCTCCAAAATGCTCTGTTGGGCCGGAGTGTAAGAGATTGTTAGGGTTGGGGTTCAACCTTTTGGAAGAATGATACGAGTATTTTTTTCTTTGAGTTATATAATTATACGGAGTAATATTTTTGTCTTTGAATTTTTCATGTATCTATATTAACTCCCTCAATTATTTTAAAAAAGATAATTTTTTGATATTTTTATTAAATAGATATTTTTATTTTTAAAATAAGTATTTCATTTCTTTATATTTTTCAATAAATTATTATTATTTATATATAGAATCATAATACATGCAAAAAAGAGCAGACACCATTTTGTAACTATTATAATTATAATTTTAAGTAATGCTAGTAAAACGAGCACGGTTCAATTCGAAATGACCCGAAAGCAAAATTGTAAGAATAGTTCTGATTACGATTCAAAAATGAAACCTAAATATTCCAGTTTCAGTTTATTAAAATAAGAAATTAGAACCGTCTCGGGTCCGGTTCCAAACCGAGAATTTTTTATTTTTTATTTTTAAAATAGAAAATAGAATTATCATTTTCAAATCAGATATAAAATAGAAAATAGAATTCAAATCAGATCTATCGATTTATCATTTTTAAAAATCGCGAACATGGGTGGATCTAGAAATTAAGTATTTATAAGTTAACTATACATATACAAGGGCCATATACAATATATATAAAGGGGATGAGGGGTGGGGGCAACTATCCCCATTGTGGATCCGCCAATGATGTACCATTAATATTAATTTTATAATTAATTAACATTAATTTTTGAAATACTCATGATTCTTTACATAGTATCGATTTTATACTTTCTCAAATATTTTCAGCACAAAAAAATCTAAACCCCACCACCGGAGTTCGAACCTATGACCATCTATTTGGATGGGTAACTAAAATGCCTTCACACTACACACTAGTTGGCATTGCTAGTATTAACTTAATATTATAATTATAATAATATTTATAAATGTTGTTTACTCTTTTTTGCATTTATTATGATTCTCACATATAAACAATAATTTGTTGAAAAAAATAAACAAAATACTTATTTTAATGGTAAAAATGTCTATTTAATAGAAAATGTGAAAAATCGCGAGTTTTAAAATAAATGAGATGACTAATGTCAATGGGATAAATCTAAGCACATTGTGCTCACATGGCATGTAGTGACCTCTTACATATGAGAGGTCATGAGACCGAACCTCAGTGGAGGCATTGTTGACTCTTTGTGTTTCAATAGATTGAGAAAGTATGTTTGAACAAATACTACAATGTAATAGAGTGAGTAGCATTCAAAAAAAAAAATAAGGGTCAAATAAGCTATCAAACTATAGGTCAAAAATCAATTAGACCCTTGAACTAAAAAATGCTTTAATTAAACTCTAAAATTAAATTAATTAAAATTGTGCAATTAACATATTCAACAGGTAACGAGTTAATTTGTTTACATAATTTAAAAATAAAAAGTTGTCGAGAAGCCTGCCGGCTTCTTCGTCCTTTCTGTAAGTATAGAACGACAAGTCATGATTACTTCGTTCAAATCGAAGCTAGCGGCTAGCTTCTCCATCTGACCTGATGGAGAAGTCAACGTGTTTCTCTGTCCAGATCGGATGAAGAAACCCGCAAGCTACATCGTCCATGTCGAACTAAACGGCTCCGTCCAGTTCAACATGAACGAAGAAGCCATTGCAGCTGCGGCAATGGCACCTCAATTTTATAACATTAATTTACACTCTCATTGCCATTCGTCACTTGCAAATCACTTTCGTATTTTACTGATTTTATTTTTCAAAATGAATGGTGAAAATCTTCTAGTCTAGCAAGAACTCTGATCTTGTGTAATAAAAAATCTCAGTTATGTTCTTACCATCACGGAGACAAGAAAACAACATTCAACAAATGGGGAACAAGACAGTTAGCGTATTGAAATTGCTGAACAAAAGGAGTACTACAAACATACATTATACATAGCTCTGCTGGCTCCTGTTTTCAAACTCAACACTTGTAGCAATATAATGCAATGGCAGAAATTAATGTTATAAAATTGAGGAGGTGCCATTGTCCCTCCATTTCCACAATTGCCCACACCGCCATCTCACCCATCCACCCTCAATTGTTCTACCATGACCATTGACCAAGGTTCCCTGGTATTGTTTTTTTTTTTTTTTGAAGTAACCATTACGGTTGTATTAATGAATCATCGAAGTAATAGGGGAGGGATAACATTCCAGTACATCCATAACAATTGTATTAATGAATCATCGAAGGTTCCCTGGTATTGTTTGCTTCATCCAAAACTACATTCAAATTAAAAAAAAAATTGCATCGTCCCCGAGTTATAATCAAGTTATGGTCGTATAAGTATTTGAGTTTAGTTCCTTAGTTATGAACAAAGTAGCGATTTTGATCCCTAGTGGTTTGGTTCCTAACGTTAATATTCCGTCTGCAACTTATGAAAAACTTTTTAAAAAAAATATTAATAATAGAAAGGTAAAATAGGAATTAAATTATAATCTCTTTTTTATGTTGAAACCCACAGCGCAATAGTCATCTTTTCTTCTTATACCTACAATCAAAGGTATTTTTCTTTCCCAAGCTTTGAAATCTAAAATTCGTCCACTTCCAAGCTATGAAATTCACAGTAAGTTGTTTCTCTATTTTATATGTTTAAATAAATAATCAATATTCTCCGTATTGATGAACTAATTTAGCTATTAATTATAGGATGTCATCTCTTAGTTGTGGTACTTCATCTTTCTCTGTATTTGGAGATAATTTTCGATGCAGATGTGATGATTTATTACACATCAAAATGTCATGGAGTTATGATAATCGAGGGAAAAAAACCAAACATGTATATGTTATTGAGCAAATTTTTGTATTTGTCAAAAAATTATAATCTAAGTTGTTTTTTTTTTTAATTATTATTTTTATATATAGAATTGAAATATTGAAATTTGATTTTTTTTTTTTAAAACCGTGAGTAGAGTTTCTTCGCTAATTACAGAAGGAACTTAGGGCTTTTGTCGATTTAGGGGAAATAATTTAGGCTAAGTTTACAAGTTTTATTAAGGAATTTACTTCTTTACCCCTAGAATTATCTTTGTCAACACATTACTAGCGTCAAGGACCAAACTCACCACTTCTCTCATAACTGAGGGACTAAAAATGGATATAATAATAAAATAGGGATGGAGTCGTCACTACGGTTATAACTCAGGAGCCAAACTCACCATTTCCCCTTCAAATTATGTATTTATAATTAATATCTTATGTACCTTCAATTAATAAATTGTATATTCATTACAGAATATTTTTTTTGAAAGTAAGCAAACGTATGTATTATTTATTACGAAGTATATTTTACCTATTATGTATCTTTAATTCTTTTACAAATATAAAATTTATTATTTTAAAATATATAATTTAAATATCATTTTAAATCCACAATGTAAAGTGAGCTTTAGTCCATAGTATAATTTGTCTATCTACCATCTTCTCTATTTAATTTTTAAAAAAAAAAATCATAATACGGCATTTTATATAGATAAATACTCCGTAAAAAAAATAAAATAAAAGATGAAGAAGAAGAAAATGTATTGTACTTCCTCAAAAAAAAAAAAAAATGTATTGTATCGAGAAAAGTAAAGGGCACATATTTAAGAGGAAGTTTGACTAGTCATTGTCAGGCTTTAGGGCACGGGATTGCATGCGACGTTGTTGCAGCTGCCAAATGCCAATTCAATTTAAAGCCCACTCGCAACCCTATCTATTTATTACATATCATACCTATTTTTAAATTACCCCATTAAAATGACATGTGCTTCTAGACTGTCAAACTTTGCAACCACTCTTACAACTTGAAAAACTTTTATTCTATAATTTGAGAGACTAGTTACTTTTTTGTTGGGGTTTAGAAATGTGAAAAAAAAATTAAAAAAATTCACATTTAATGGTAGATATTTTTTAATTATCGGTACTATTAATTTGAAATAAGGGTGTAATAAATTAACTTATTCATGAGTTATATAGACTCAAGCTGATAAATATTTAAATTCAATTTGATTATTTTTTAGTTGAGTTGAAGTTTCTATAATTTAAGTAAGGAATAAGGGTCAAATAGGTCACCGAACTCCACACCAAAGTACAATTAGGCCATCAAACTCAAAAACAATGCAATTGAGTCCCTGAATAACATAAAATCATGCAATTAGGTCTAAAATGACTTGTTTACATTAAATGCCGGTTACCAATTTTAAAAATAATTTTTAAATATATTTTTAAATAAAATAATTAATTAAAACTAAAATTAAAAAAAAAAAAAAAAAAAAAACTTGAACTGTCGGAGACGAAGAGCTTCGTCTCCAGCCATGGAGACGAAGCCTTGGTCTCCATAGCCGGAGACCATCCCTTCGTCTCCAGCCATGGAGACAATTCAAACGTCTTCGTCTCCCTAGTTGGAGACGAAGAAATCGTCTTCGGCAGTTCTAGTTTTTTTTTTTTTTTTTTTTTTTTTTATAATTGAATTTAAATAATTATTTTATTTAAAATTTATTTTTAAAAAATTGGTAATCGCCACCTCAGCACAGTTTCAGGTCAATAGGTCATTTTAGACATAATTGCATGATTTTATGTTGTTCAAATACCTAATTGTATTGTTTTTAAGTTCGATGACCTAATTACACTTTGGTGTGCAGTTCAGTGGCCTATTTGACCCTTATTTTTTAATTAATGAATCGAGCTGAATTCAAGACTCTCAATATTTGGATTGACCAACTTGCGAGTCTAATCAATTTTTTTCTATCATATAAATATAATATAAGAAATTGAATTACTATATATATTTGTATTTATATTTCTTAAATTTCCCCAAAGGTGGTTTGGCCTATTTCTTTATGCTAATATTGTGGACATGGCTTTTGTTAATTTTCTTTTTATATAATTTCTCCTCTTTTATGTGCGGTGTTTCGTATTCTAAGTTTTCAAAATTTCTGCTTCTTCATTTCTTGTTTCCATGCAACTTAATTAGAGAATGACTCTTTATTGGCTATTATCGTATTGAAGAGAGGTGCGTACAATTCAGCGAGGGATTAGTCATTGTGTTTTACGGTGAAAATCTTGAATACATCCAAAACAAAAAGAAGTGAAGAGCTTATTTAATAGGAGAGATCTTCATTATCATTTACTTGAAGTCATTAGATAAATTATGTCAGCTCACCCCACACACACAAACTAATCGCTTCCGAAATTGGATGTCAATGGCCATGTTTGGTAAATGGTTGTTAGTTGTTTGCTGATTGGGTTAATTAGAGGATATAACTAGATGATAACATTAGCTGATTGTAGAAAAGATGTTTGGTAAATTAGTTGTTTTCTGATAGCTGTTTGGTAAAATTTATTTTCTAAAAAAGCTAATTAAAAAAAGTTACTTTAAGTAACTTTTGAATTTTAGCATTTTGAAATACAAAAAGTCAATCAACCCAACACTTATATTGATTTTTAAACCAAATCAAACGACTAATAGTGGTCAAATAAGCCAAAATTAACCTATAGGCTAACTATTTTACCAACCAGGACCAATGTATCGTGAAAAAAAAAATGTATCGCAGTTTCTTGAGAGGAAACCATGAACTTTTCCAATAATATGATTTTACATAGGTAGTAAAAGTTATTTGTATCAAAGAACTAATAATTCATGGTGTTGAGATGACAAGCTTCAATACAATGAAACATTCAAATCAAATTTATACTTTTCCCATATATATACCAAACATGCCAATGCCAATGCCATGATTGCCTTTCCCACACTTTATTATAAGTACAAAGAAGGTGGTGCAATATCTCTGTTTTTAGTTCAAGCAATTGCAAAAGCAACTTGGTACACTTCTTGTCTCTAAATATCTTCCTGATTGCTCTCACCCATCATATTTCCGTGAAGTAAAACCCCAACACCATCATAAGCTGACAATTTTGTGGTATAATTTTTAGTGGATCCACCATCGATTTGTCATGTCAAAATTGATCTAATTCAGATTCTCCTAAATGAGGAACTTTATTTGACATATTTTAATGCTCGAATATGTTGTTCTGGTCTATTGCGTGAGAAATTAACGTTTCAATGCTCTTAAGACTCCCAGAAGAAATTTTCAAAAAAAAGACTCCCAGAAGAAGTGAATCGATTTAAAGGAAAATGTATTCCAGCACACAATTAGCTGTCACAATTAATTCATTAAATATGGTTTTGCACTATATTGGGCTTGCAAGGTAGGCCTTTCAATGCTCCTGCTTTAATGGTTCTGGTCCAAAACTCTCCATTTTCTCATTATGCTTAGCTCATTGATTCAGTGAACAATATTTTAAAAAATTCTACTGTTTAAACTTTTTGACAACGACAGTGTGAAAATTATGCTCAAAGTGAGTAAATCATTTGTGCGTACAAATATTTGGCCATGTCTATTCTTAATAATATAAAATGTATTTCTCTTCGGTTATTTTACTTAAACGGTTATAGTAACATCGACATTTTTAACTTTTAACTTTCAAATTTAAAAAACGTTATACTATTAATTCAAATACCTAAAATACCCTCACCATGTCAAAGATTACCTCAAGACCATATGCACATAATAAGAAGCTTCTCATCATCATTACTAATCAAATAAGAAATTTACACTTATAACCCCAACCAAATCAACCTTTCTCCAGCCACATATGCTTGAAGAAAGAAAAATATGATTCAACTATATAGTAAAACCACTCATTAAACCTAATATCAGCGGGTGGTAAAAGAGACCACCACGGCACCTTCTACTTTTATAGTAGAAGGAAAAACACCAAAATAAAAAATAAAAAAGAACGGGCCAAAAACCACTGGCCTCAAGAATTGGGTATACCCTTGATAAACTAGGGTACCCCACAAACCCAGAAGGCTGTTTTAAACTTAGCCTTCCCATTTTGACCCTACACTCGGTCACAATACTACTAGTCTACTACTACTACTGACACACCTACTACTATAATTATATGAAACGCTTAATCGGTGGGAGTTTTCTGAGGTAATTAATGGCGGCGGTTCTCAACGGAATTGGGCGCCGGAGTAAGTTTGACCGAAAGACCAGCCGGCGGGGGCGACATTGTTGGACACCAAGCTGCGGCCGTCGCTGGTGGTTACCTTGAACGACAAAGCCTGGCCGTTAAGGTTGGCGTTGCTTTGCCAATTTTGCCCCCAGTTCCTCGACATCGGCTGCCATGCCGTCCTTGAACCCCTCACCTCCACCGAGTGGACGTCGCCGGCGCCGCCCACATTGGTGACCAGTACCAGGTTGAAGAAAGCGTGGCCGTTGATTGTGAACCTTATTCCTCCCCTTCTCTTGCAGGGCACCCTAAAAACCCAAAATTAGTGTCAAAATCCAGGTTTAAAATTTATATATTTATGAACTCCATTAAGGTGAGAGTATGTTATTATACCTTTTGTAAGCGACGGGGACGATGCCGGCTCTGTACTGGGCAATGTGTTGGAAGACGGGCTGAGAGAGGTCAAAGTGGTGGAGGGGAGGGTTGCACCACCCGCCGGCGTTGTTGGGGAGGCCGTTGTTCGGCGGGCAGAAGTTAGTGGCGGTGACCTGAATAGTTCCCGGCAGGCAAGATTTGTCACCCACACACCTAATTGCATAGCAAGACCCACAGCTCAACCCATTGTTGAACAGCGCTGTACTCAGCGCTGCAGTGTTTGTACCATACCCTTGACTATACAAATTCCCATAACCACAAGCCCCACCTATACAAATAAATCCAAACTCAACATTAATCTTCTTGAGTATATAACCATTAATGTGCAATTCAACTATCAGCTTATTAAACTTTTAGTTCTAAATCCAGAAACATAATATAAATTGAAACTCATGAAAATGACAAAAATACCCCCGACAAAGAAAACATGAGATACTGAAATGTCTAACATACCCATCGTGCCGGAGGCGTCACCGCCGCCGTAGAAGGTGGCGTGGGCGTTGGTCCACCCTCCTCCGGTGCCGTAGCCATTGACATTAGAGGCCATTGCGAGAAGGACAGCGAGGGAAACCGCAATGAGAGCCATGAGGGAGAAGAGGGTAATTTTACTCTTTGGGAGTGGGATTTTCAAAAGGGGATATGGCTATGGGGAGGAGAGAAGTTTTTGTGAAGAAAATGGTGAGGAATGAAGGAATATAAATAGAAGGCAGGTGAGGGGCGTGTTTGGGCTTTACAACAGTTGCAAGTTATTAACTAACAACATTTTTTAGGGTTGTTGGGGACCATAAACTGTCAGGACAAAGTAGGAATATATCATAAAAATGAATTTATGTTTTTTCTTTTTAAATTTTTTATGGTGGGAACCCCCTGTACTTTAAAGAATTTAAACTCTGACCCAGCAATATTTTTACAGCTAAGCATTACAATTTACAATTTACAATATACAGATAATAGATAGATAAAAAGTGACATTTAAAAAAAAAAATGAAAATTTTCGAGGGAAATTTTGAAGGTGGAATTGGGCCGGGAGGGTGGTTAATGGGCCGGAGAGTGGTATTTTGGTAGCTTTCAAGAGGGTAAAGTTGGCAATATCCTGGTTTCAAAAAAAAAAAAAAGTTGGCAATATCCAAGTGGGGTCTACCGGTTTTATCGCAAGGAAGCTGCACATGCAAGCATCGCCCATTTGCCGCAATCACACTTTTTTCTCTGCCTCAATTCGTTCCCTTTTTATTTATTTATTT